AGCTCTGAGAAATATGAAACCTGCCAATAAAATGTTACCAAAGGTTTATGGTATTGCTCTTTGTCCACATCAGGTCACTGTGTGCACACCTTATTCATAGTAGTGCTTTTTTATCTTTTTTACATAAAAAGCCTGTTAGAAAACATTGAAGACATGAGTGATCACTTACAAAAAGGTGGGATTTACTTCTAATACATCCTCTTTCAGCCTCAGTTAATAAAACAAAGAGGAATGTATTCACGATCAGACTCACAACCAATCAGAGCAGTCTTGTTCCTAAAGAACATTTTGCTGCCCTCTAGTTGTAGCCTCATGAAGAACATCTGTACCTGTACCTGTACCATGTGTGAGGGGTTAACCAGCAGTTCTGATTACACAAATTACCTTTGGTAAATGTTGATGCTTCACTTGAGAAACTGAGTGCATTGGAATACAAACCAATATGAATACAGATCCAAGCACCTGGCATAAGGTCATAACCAGATTCTGGATGAGAAATCAATTTCTCAAATTTCTTTTCACAACATTCACAATATTTCAGTTTATATATCTGCTTGAAACAAATTTCCATTGCTAAAAAAAGAAGGCTTTCAGTTTGTCACTGAGACTCTCCTTTAAATTGGATTCAGGTGATTGAAAAAACAAATAGAGCTGTTAAATACAATGTGACAGATATTCGCTGTAATTTAAATACACTAAAGATGTGAAGTTCTCTGGAGCTTTTTGTCCTCCTGCCTGTAGCATGGAGCACTTCTCTCTCCCTCTAAGGATCAGAACATTTCTCCACTAAGAATCAGGACTTGTCCTAGGCCTCCAGCTTCCTGTTTGTATTGAGTGTCAGTAAAAGGAGGAGCCATGCACAACAAATCAGCATTAAACGTCTTGCTCCAACCGTTCCCTGCTATTGATATTATGATTCTCACCATAGACTTACAGAGCTTTATCAAGCTGACAGTTCTGCTTTGGGGAATCACAAGTGTTTGTGATGTGAAATGACAGCTGAAACCAAACAGCCTCGCTCTGACAAATTCAGTTAAATTAGATTAAATCAAATGAAGGCATTAGATGAAAGCTTTGCCCATCAATCTATGTAGACTGATGGGCAAAGATAGATAGATAGATAGATAGATAGATAGATAGATAGATAGATAGA